ATCCAATCCTGAAAGACTGTCACTATTTTCTAGTAAGTCTTAGAAACAATTCTAAGTCAAAACTATTTTGTAATCACTAAAGTACAAATCATAATTGTTTTAATGTGCAGTGTCCAAATTCTTCACCCACAATGGAACTCCAGCTTTACTTCCAATCAACACATCTCACTCTTATGTGACTAAAGACAAAACTTTCTATAAAAAAGAGACAGCAACATAAATATGTTAACAACTAGGAAATCTGAGTATGGGTTTTCAGCACTTTTGAACTTTTCTAGAAGCTTTAAAGAATTTAAAATTAATCTAAACAGGTGGGAAAAAATGAGAGAAAATAACATGACATAATACAGTGGGGGGGGAAGATGAGCTGCAATATGAATCAGTCATGAAATCTAGTCAAAGATTTCTGCTTGTATATTGTTTTACCTTTCAGATTCCAACCTAGCACTGGAAGAAGGCTGAAGAAATTCTCTGCTAGAAACGGAATCTCTGAATTCTCCAATTACTGAAAGGGTAATTTTACGCATGCTTCCATAAAAGAGCTGAATGTCATTAGGCAGGTAAGGAAGGTCACATGCTGTAAAAGAATGTGCTTTGAAACATATAAACCTTCATGCAAGCAAAGCACAAAACAATACATTACATATAGACATATTATTCCTTTAGGTTGGTGCAGGAAGCATCTCAATTATCAATACCACTGACTGGTACAGACTGTCCACCATAGAGCTGACGAACTATGAACCAAATGTGAATCTTTGCTACTCCGTAACCTTTGGCAACTTGTTAAACTGAGCTTCAATTCTCTCACCTAAGATATGGAATAGTGGTAATCATCTATCTCAGGGACACTGTGAGACTTAAACATTTTTCAAGATATGTATGGCACAAAGCACATACAGTGAGTGAGGCAGCACTATTCTAGTTCTTCGAGTTAACTAAATTTCCAGAGTGACTCATGAAGGTAGGTATTCTGAGGTACACATTTAAAAGGAGGAATCTGAAACATGAAAAGGCTAAGGGCAAGTTTCACAGTTCAGCAAACCTATGAACCAGTCACTGTCAGCATTACTAAGTATTTCTAGATTAATTAAAGGGGGAGTGTATCATGAACATTTCTAGATTAGGCTGCTCAGATGCATATATGCAAGAAATTTTAGAGTGTATTTCATTCTGTTATCCTTTAAAAATTGTGTATTTTAAATGGAAATCGTAAAATAATACAGTAAATTTGTTTTGGTTTTCTTGAGACAGGATCTTACATAGCCAAGGTTGGTCTTGTACTTCTGACCCTCCTGAATCTACTCCCAAATGCTTGCATGTCTCCAAGCCAGGTAGTAAATTTAAGTTTACATAACTATGCCATGACTATAACTTATGAGCATACTTGCTTCTTATTTATAATTGGGTTTGCCAAACAACCTTTTTTTTTTTTTTTTTTTTTTTTTTTTTTTTTTTTTTTTTT